AAACTAAGTCAGGCAACCTTGCGGATCAAACACTCCAACATGCTGATCGGCTAGCCTTTTTCAATAGGAAATTTGAAGAAAACGGCAGAGGAGACATCAAATCAGGGGAATGGAACGACAGCAGCTTTACTGCACGGGTGTGTAAAACCACGAATTTCACGCTGCGTTTTTTTTTTCATACAAAGTGATAGATTTTGTTCATATCAGAAATAGCGGTATGAATTAATTTTAGCAAAACGCTTACGTAGTTTTACAGAAAGCTGCTCTACCATGTTAAAAAACTAGAAATTTTAGATGACAACTAAGAAATGTGTTTATACTTTGTTGTCTTCTGCAGAATTTGATAAAGAAAAAACGTATTAAAAATTCAAACCAAAAAAAAAGTAAAAAGAAAAAAGCGTTGTAGATTAGACGGTTATACAGTTCGTAATTCCTATTCAATCTGCTACTTATATCTATAATTTGTTATGCATGTTACAAGGTAAAAATTTATAAGACGCTGGAAAATACTGGCACCGTTTGCACTGTAAAAAAAAATCAGTTAAAACGTCGTTCTCGTTGGAAAAAATGACCAAATATTAAAAAACTGCACTAATAAATAAAAAAAAAAGTTTATAAAGAATTAGGCACAAATTAAAAATGGGAAAACTCTTTTTTCTACTCTCGTTATCTTCAGTGCAAATTGTTTTTATAAAAATTTACTGTTTATTTTTTGACTTTTTTTGGTACCGTATATTACAAATCACTTTTCTTGCTACTATGATTATCCAGATATAAAATAAGATGAGGCACTGATACACAGGTCTAATCTACAAGGTACCTAATTCGTGCAAATGATGGTTTAACAGAGATTTATAAGCACTGATTGTTGAAGTAGAGTCTTGGACAACTGAGATAGACATAACCGTATGAAGTATACCGAAGTTTGTAAGAGAAAGATAATCACAAGTAGGAGCCTAAGGTATGAGCTGGAAAAGAATGTTATACTTAGTGCTTCTACAGTATCAAAACTTTTTTTTGTACTCTAAATGCCAAGAATTCAGAGTACTTCACTGCTACTAACGACTGAAGTGGCTCTGCACGTTGGCTTTGCACTTCGCTTCCTGATTCCGTTCAGTGTTCATTATTAACTGAAAAGATACACAAAGCATGAAGGTCTTCATGTAACTCTCCCGCTTTTACCACTATGAGATAATGAAACTTCTAATACACTAACAAATGACCGGCTTTTTTGATATTTCACCGTTTCGCCTTGTCAATTTTAGTTTAGCAGTTTAGTTTTGCCGAACTGTTCACGTTCTTTCGTTCAACCCATTTTAAATAAAAATTGGAAAACCAAAAACGGATGAGGTAGTGGATAATATTTTCAGTTTTACAAAATAGTATTGTTCAAGAAATTTGGAAAAATAAGACAGCAAACTTCCATTAAAAATGTCACTTTGCGCTAATAAACTTTTTGTTTAGCCTAGCCTTCTACGAAGCGCAACTAAAATTAGTTAGGTAATTTTTCTTTTGTAGCAATCTTTCTACCACATTTACCCCACAAATCATTATATTTTTTACTGTTCTATTTCAATAATCACATAAATTATCTAATGATGATGACCTCACTAAACGTAACATAGTTTTTCTATCATTTACTAATAATTTAATACTTTCAGAACAATCATATTTCAAAGACCTTAGTAATAAGTTTTATTAAGTTTTATACGCGCTTTTTTTATAATCTTTCTAGTAATAAGTATTACATTGAAAAAATTACGAAGCATCTGGAAAAGGTTGATTATTAAATTGATATGTTTACTTCTGCTTATCTTTTTGTCAGTTTTCGTAGAGTTGTATCATTATATAATAAAAAAAAAAAACAGTTTATTACTTTTAGCCAAGATCAGTGGTGGAATCAACAAAATCAACAGAGAAAGACTAATTTAATATGCCCGCTAAAGTCAAATAAGCTAAAAATTTATAAGACCTTTGCTCGTTAGTTGATAAACTGAAAATTAGGTGATAAAATAAACAGAAAATTTAGAATTGCTTTTTCATATCACCGCCTGGTCAAAAAGAAATTATTAACAACTTAATTTTTTTATGTTGTGTGAGTCGTGTGCTTCTTTTAGACAGTCATTTTTCAATTTTCATTTTCCTTATTCAGTCATCTAACACTAGCCTAAATCTACAGTTATTCCATACTCCTTTCCTTTTTTGTATTTCTCTGCGTAGTTATAGTCTGTATTGAAAGCAAAACCGTAGTAACTTCTCTAAGAATGTGTAAAATTTTTTCGCTTGTCTGCAAGCTCCATATAAAATTTGCCATACTCCGTTTATCTTAATAGAGTGCTCCAGTTACTGAGATTTGAGATTACAAACATAAGTAGCTGTCCGCTAATATCACATGTGGATACAGTGAGCGGAAAAAAATAAATTTGTAACTTGTTTTTCACATAGTGCTAAAAGTGCAAAATTTCCAAAATTTTCAAACACGGTAATTGTTTTCGCTGATTAAGGCTAAACAGAATTTATCTTTTTAGTATCTGACTTTACCAGTCGGAGAAGAAAATCAAACCTTTGAATGACAAATACGTGACAATTACGCAGTTCTATTCTGTTTTACCGTTGAGACAAAATGCGCTCAGTTGTTTAAGAGACAAAATTTTTAAAAGTAACAGCAAAAGAAAACATTGAAGGAATTAGAAGCAAAGCGTAACAAGAGAAATTTTTATAAGTGCTTAAAAATTAGCTTTCTGTTATTCAAATTACATACTTCACAGCTTCTGATGCTGTGAGATATGACGTAAAGGTTCTTTTATGCAGCAGTTGTAATCGGCTGTTCACATAATGCTTTGTTTTAGACGACGAACTTTACTGGTGTTTACACTACGTACCATAGAATGAAAAACATGAAGAAAAGCTAAAAAAAGAAAGAGAAAAAAAAGTTGTCAATCAAAAAGATCTGTAAAAGAGTTTGTACTTTTCCTCCAGCTTTTTTTTGTAGTCAGTTTAATTACATCAGTCTGCCTTGTTAGAAAATTCTTTCTGAGTCTTAAACCGTACGACTGGTACACAATGCGCTTGAAAGACTTTATCTTACACGTTTCATAACAAAAATTTTACCATTCTGCGTTTCTACTTTGAAATTTATCTAGAACCCTAGTACTCTATTCATTGTTCAATGTCTTTTTTAAGTTTTACCTTCTGTTAATGGTTATACTTTGAAAAGTAACTTCCAAGAGCTTCTGCCAAAAGCAGTTGAAGAAACGTTCGAATTTTCCATCATTATTAGCAAATTTACTGAAGCAATTAATATAATGTTTTTTGACTAGCTATCTTTGAAAACCGGCCACTTATTCAGTACCTTTTAAAACTTTGGTCTTATCTGCGAAAAGTCAACTGTTTAAAGGTCCTTCTTTGAAAAGCT